AAAAAAAAAAAAAAATTGTACACTGGACTCCTTTAGTTCTGGATCAGAAAACAAAACCAGTGAGTTCTACAGAGATCTTGTGTCAGCAGAAATGAATGCGCCATTAGGACATTCTAAGGACTCGGACAAAACTGCTTACTCAGTTTTCTCATAAAAGTTTGGGAGGTGGGAGTGAGAGCGAATGGATATAGTAAAGATTGCAAGAGGACGTCCGCTATACACATACTTCAATGAATATCCCAAGGGGAACCTGTTATACTAAATCTCAAGGTCAAAGGGGTGGGGACACAAAGTACTCAGGGCCGCAACAGGCCTCCATTGATACTAGAACCTCAGGGCAAAAAAGAGGGGGCACTAAGTCGTGAGGCCAAGAGTATAAATAAATGAATAAAACAAAGATATTCTTCAAAACATAAAGCGATGGCCGACGCACCGGCTCCCAAATAGAGCCCTGCGTGGGTGCAGTCCCTAAGGAACAAGCAGAAAGCACAAAGGCAGCCAAAGGCACTGCACTGGAAAGGGCCGTGGAGGGTCGAGGATGGAGTGGGCTGTGCTACACGCCCAGAAGGCGGGTGCGAGCCACCCTGCCGCCGAGGGCTGAAACCCCCGTCGGGGCAAGGCCCCGGCCGGCTGCCAGCAGGCTTCCGCACGCTCCCGTCCCCGGCTGGGATGGACTGCGCTACCTCCTCACCGCCTGTTCATCCTTCCGTCGCCGGCCTTCTCGGCTCACCTCCCACGGTCCGCCAGATGCACTCGGCCTCCCGGGGGCCGACCCGCCCCCGGCCCAAAGGCCAGTCAGTAGCGGTACGCCTCACTCCGCCATCTTCGCTCCTTCTCAAGTCCGCCAACCCTGCGGCGAGTCGTTTCCGCAAGCCCCGCCCCCGCCGCCGCTGCTGAGTACTGATTTGACATCAGCTTGCTCGCGCGCGCTGTCCTTCCATCGTAGGTTGGTTGGAATGCACGTCGATCAATAGCGCTCGCTCCACTTGATTCCTTTTCTGTCGGATTGGGTCCTAGGTTTGAGGTAATAGTGGAAAAAAGCTTTTGTAAGTCATTTATTAAGAATGTAAAATTATTTCCGCGAAGAAACAAGTGTCACATGGTGGTAAGATAACCTAGCTGGGCCGCATGACTATTTTAAGCCATTATTCGGTTAAATTGTTGGACAGATAATTTCATTCTCAGGGCAGAGAGCGAGAGTCCTGGGCGTCACATAACACCCAGGCAAACAATTTAATGGTTCCAGTTTGTCTCTGACTTTGTTTGATCTATTCAGAGTCTTAAAGGGTCTGAACGTTGGCCTGCATTTTATAGCTCTGGTTAGTACACGAGAGCAGGGGTCGTCACTCTTGAGGGCCCTCCTGCCAAAGGAAAAACTGTTACAATCGGCAGTTTTGTTTCCTACACCCAACGGTAGGACTCACATCCTTTCTTTAGCGATTGATCCAGAAGCAGGGAGGGTAACAGGGTGGCGCCTCTTCTGGGAGCAGGGCCCCTGGTCCACAGTGCTTCCCAAACACCATCAGGGCTGTCATCTGGGTTGCTTGTTAGAAACACAAATTCCTAAGGCTGCACTTCCCCAAGACCCAAAACCCTGTCTTCCGATGAGGCTGAGGAATCTTATTTTTACAGAAGCTTATGATAAAGGGTATCTATGGAAAAACCTACAGCTCACATTATACTTAATGGTAAGACTTCATACTTTCCCTTTAAGATCAGGAACAAGGCAAGACACTGGCTCCACCACTTCTAATTCAACATTGTACTGGAGGGTGTAGCCAGTGAAAAAAATCAAATGGCATCGAGATTGGAAGAAATAAAACTGCCTTTATTTGCAGATACCATGATCTTCTGTAGAAAATCATAAAGAATTAACAAAAACAATAGCTACCAGAACTAGTAAGTATAACAAGGTCCCAGGATGCAAGATCAGTATAAAAAATCAATTGTATTTCTGTATACTGCAACAAAAAAATCAAAAATGAAGTTAAGAAAACAATTCCATTCACAATAATATTCAAAAAGAAACTTAGGAAAAAAATTAACAAAACAAGTCCAAGATTTATACACTGAAAACTACAAAGCATTGCTGAGAGAAATGAAGACCTAAATAAATGGAGAGACTTAACAGACTTTCATTTGGTTAGACTCAACAGATTAAATGCAATCCCTAACAAAATGCCAGCACTCTTTTTTTAGAAACTGGCAAGCTGATCCTAAAATGAATGTGGAAATCCAAAGGGCCTAGGATAGGTAAGACAATTTTGAAAAAGACCAAAGTTGGAGAAATTCACTGATTTTTTTTTTTTTTTTTTTTGGAGATAAGATCTCACTCTGTCACTCAGGCTAGAATGCAGTGGCATCATGTATTAATAGCTCACTGCAGCCTCAAGCTCCTGGGCTCAAGGGATCCTCATGCCTCAGCCTACCAGATAACTGGGCTGACAAGCACACCGTTGGTGGCCAATTGTTTTGTTTTTTGTAGAGATGAGGGTTTCATTATGTTGCTCAGGCTGGTCTTTTTTTTCCTTCCCTAACTGTACACAGTGTGATTGCATTTTTTAAAAACTCCAGCCAGAGCCAGGTGTGATGGCATGTGACACTAGTCCCTGCTAGTTAGGGGAGGAGGCTGAGGTAGGAGGATCACTTAAGCCCAGGAGTTTGAGGCTGCAGTGAACTGTGATCTGATGCCACTGCACTCCAGCCTGGGCGACAGAGGGAGACCACATGTCGTGGGGTGAAAAAAAAGAGTCGAGGAAAGTTTTAACAAGCTCTCTAGATTAAAAAAATGAAAACAAAAACAAAAAACAGGCCAGGCGCGGTGGCTCACGCCTGTAATCCTAGCACTCTGGGAGGCCGAGGTGGGTGGATTGTTTGAGCTCAGGAGTTCGAAACCAGCCTGAGCAAGAGTGAGACCCCGTCTCTACTAAAAATAGAAAGAAATTAATCGGACAACTAAAAAT